ACTTTTTCCACTAAGAATATAATTGAAATTTATTTGTATGTAAAGTGTCTCCTCATATATCTCATATTATAAATGATTGCAGAATTCGTAGATGATGTAGCTTCGTCATCAGTAGTCTTCTATGTTGCCTTAATACTTTTGACGTAAAGACAAAACCCTTACGGCATTGACTATATCTCTTACATAACATGGTAAGTTTTGAGTGTTTTTAAGTAGATCGAGGCCATTTCCAATAGCCTTTCTTGGAAGCTCAAACCCATTACGTTGTAATCTAACCGTAATGGACACAAATACGGAATCTTCTCACAGTAGAGATTCGATTTAAATTTGCCCTTTAGAATGAATATCGGGGTGTTAATAAAAACCAATGTTTTCAACGTTCAGACAACTTTTATGAGATACTGTAGATCCACGTATAACAGACCCGTTAATTGAATTATGTGAAGCTTTGTATACAATGGGTGCACAAGGAAAATGGAAAGCCTCTACAATATTCCAATTTTTTACAAAAAAACGTGACTTATAAAAAATTCGTTGGGAAGCGTTTTCTTATGGAGAAATCTTTTCTCCAAAGAAGAGGTATTTTTCTTGCTAGCAACTGGATTTAGAAAGTGACAACTCAGTATTATGTTAATCAGTAATGCTTAAAATTACAGTATATCTGTACGAATTTTGGAACAACGCTCTAGCTCCTCTACTTATCGGATATTACGGGAGCAGTGAAAATTTTTGCTTATCTTGATAAAGACATTTCATAGTGTGCTAGGCAAACACATACTTGAATATGTATCATTTATTTTACCCGATTTAGTTATACAATAGAAAATGTATAAGATTTCAAAAGTTTGAGTGATTCAAACCCGACGGGAACGAAGAACACGACGATGGCGGAAGCGGCGACGATTTCTGTATTCCATTCCTGCGTCACCTCCAGTCTGAAGAGCTTACTTCTAAGTAAAGCAAATTAAGACTTGGCAAAAGGACAACTCACGTCTCCTCCTGGAGCTACGCCACCTCCATAGCTGCCAGGAGCAGGTCCGGGTCCGGGTGCCATACCGCCTCCGTAGCTGCCTGGTGCAGGGGGAGCGGGTTCAGGTCCAGGAGCGGGTCCAGGCCCGGGAGCGGGTCCAGGTGCAACACCACTTCCGTAACTTCCAGGAGCGGGTCCACCATTTCCATAGCTTCCAGGAGCAGGTCCTGCCTGTTCAGGTGCAGTTGGAGGTGGAAAAGCTGGAGGTGCTGGTGGAGGTGCTGGAGGTGC